AATCTTGTTAGATAATTATTTTTTCCTGTTATAACGTTTTTGATTTTAGGTATGGGGTGCCTTTTGATGTTTGTATTAATGATTTTGATCATTTTAATAATCATAATGATAATAAAAATACTTTTTATATGCTTTACTATTTTATTCAAAGTTCTATCCAGCTTTGATATGCTTTTTATTACTATTTTAATCGAAGTTTTGTCCAAGAAAAAATATTTGTCCCTTGTATTTTATGAGTGTAACAAATGAAGTTTGATTTAATTTTATTTAATTTGATTTTTAACTACTTACAATTTTTACTTCATAATAAGCATTTTCTTCACATGCTATTCTGCGTGTTGTTAAAAATGTAACTTATTAATTTGATATATAAAAAAGCTTTACATTTGGTATATTTTGGACTACTCCAGGGCCTTTGACAAGTTAATCGTGAATCGTCTAGAAACTATCTCTTTATGGTGTTTGTAGAAAGGCCTTGTAGTGGTAGAGTAGTGGGCTACCTCTCTGATAGAATGCGATTTGTGTCTTTTCGATTTCCTCTGGGGTCCATATTGGTGCCCAATTATTTATCGTAGGCCTATACATCATTGATTTTGTAAGATGTTCCGATGCATTTTCTTTTACCCGTTTTGCTATGTCCAATAGTTTTTTTCGATTGTAATGTAAACAGGTTGATTGCCACTGATATCAGTGTACTTGACAGCATTCTGGAATGGACCCACACTAATTACCTCTCTTTGAATCTGTGCAAAACAAACTTCATGTTTTTCAGCAATAGTGTTCAGGACCACCCTGATCATCTTATTCTTAATGGGAAAGACATTTGTAGGGTCCATGTTACCAATTTTCTAGGAATTCACATCGATGGGCAATGTGGTATGTTCATATTCAGAACTTATGCAAAACTGTTGCTTGTAACATGGATGTTTTGCACAAAATAAAAAATGTTGTTCCACTTTGTATGTTGAAGTTAATTAATAATTCATTTGTTCTTCCATACCTGAATTATGATATTTTTGCTTCGGGTAAGGCCAATGATGTTAACATCAACAAAGCGCATGTGCTTTTAAAAGAGGACGATTAGATATCTCTAACTCAACAAAATTGCCGATTCATATTTACTAGTCCATTTTTCTCATAATATTATTGAAATTAAGGACCTTTTTGATTTTAATGTTGGGATTCTCATGTTTAACTCCAATTCTGGAGGATGGAGATTTCATCTGTTCTGACAAATTATTTTATTCTTAATTCAAATATTTATTCTTATTCCACTCGTCAGGCCTTTTCATTTCACGTTCATCGATCCCGAAATACTAAAAGACAAAACACTAACAAAGGCGGCCAGTTTTGGTGGTGCCTGTACTATCTGTTTTCCCCTTTACCGGACTCCCACTAGCATGAAAACAGGCGAACATCTTACCACTTTTTAAAAGAAAATGATGTCGCAATTTAAAAATTACAGACTTGTCGCCTTGACGTCATTCTTTTGCAATACGCTTGAAATTTTGGTTGTTGAGTATATAACTACCCATTTTAATGCATTTTGTCTTATGTATAACTGGCAACATGGCTTTACAAAAATAAAATCTTGCAATACATACTTGTAGCGGCATTTAATTCATGGAATCTTGATCTTGATAAAGATGCTGCCCACATAGACGTTGTCTTGTTTGATTTACAATACTTATAACAAAGTTGGAACGAACGTACGTAGTTAGTGGCAATCCTCCTAGGTGATTATAACCATTTATTCGTGGTAGACTACAATGCGTTCTCTATCAAGGAAAATGTTTTTCTTGGACTAGAGCTTTATCGGGAATACACACACGGGTCATGCCTGCAGCCTATGTTTATGTTTAACATCTACGTAAATGACTTGCATCTTAATTTAACAACAAGGTCATTACCGTATGCTGACGATACTTTTATTCCAAGGTGAATTTATTCCGTGAATGATGAATTATTATTCTACAAGAAAACATCAATCGTATACAATGATGGTCTGAACTAAATTCACTTAACGCTATTAAATGTTAAATGTTGTCAATTATTGTACTCGTCAACGTAATCCAAACGTCCCGGAATATACATTAAATGGTCACTTTCTTAAGAATGTAAAACACACTTTATCCTAAAATAAACCAGTTGAGAAATGGCTTCCAAATCTTTGAATTGTATTTGTATATATTGTTTTATTATGTGTTTAAAACTTTTGAAAATCAATACAAAGGAGATTGAGGAGATTTTCTAGAATCTGGTTAGGGTAATTTTAGTGGGTGTGCTGATTTGTTGTATTACTCCTAATATGCCTATTTTATATTTTTATACAGTAAAAAAAAACCTGATATTTAATTGTTGAATTTGCGTGGGCTTGCACTTTGGGTCGGGTTAGGGAATTTTGGTGGGTATTTTGACTGTTCTAAAGTAGTCTAATTTGTTATATTTTTATACTGTAAATATTATTGATTGATAGGCCTAATTGTTGAATTTGGGTACA